TTTTGGTCACTTAAAACTTGGAAATTATAAATTTTAAATGTTAAATGTAAATATTAATGGGAAACTAAAAATTGGGAAAAACTAATTAGGACATTGATTGTCTGTAAAGACTGAATGTTAAAATAACCAGGATGTGTATAAGCTAAAAATTATGGATAAATGTAAGAATGTTATTTTTATTTAATTGATATAATAAGAATTGTATTAGTTTAAATATGAGACAGTAAATACTAAGCGGAAAAGAGAGGAAATATTTAATGTGGTAGTTTGAGACTGGTACTAAAAGATACTTGTATGTCATTGAGTTATCAATTAACTCAGCCGGCACGTTGCTTTTTAAATACTTAAATGTAAAATTAGAAAATCAATAAAACATTTTTTAAAAAATGGTTAAGGCTTTGGTCGCTTAGTTGTAGCTTCCGTTCTTTTTTTACCTTCCTGGATGCCCTTATGTTAGTTGAGCGTATGCTGATGACAGCCCTTTGAGGTAGACAAAATTAGGAAACCAGTTTCATGCGTGCTATTGCTGCTTTTGTTACAAGGTTATAGTTACAGAGAAACAAGAGTCTGAATGTGCTTCCCCCTTTCCTTCCTTCCTCTTTGTGAGAATGAGGGAGAATGCTGCCTGAAATGCTTTCTCCAATTACATTTCTGCCCTGGACTCAAGTTTCATTTATCTGAATGTTGTTGTCTCAATAGGCTCTTCCTCCTGTTGGTCAGGTTATTCCTTCTGCTCAGTCTGCCTGTCTGTCTGTCTCCTTCCTTCCTTCCTTCCTTCCTTCCTTCTTTCCTTCCTTCCTTCCTTCCTTCCTTCCTTCCTTCCTTCCTTCCTTCCTTCCTTCCTTCCTTCCTTCCTTCCTGTCCTATCCATCCATCCATCCATCCATATATTTCTGTCTGTCTGTCTGTCTGTCTGTCTGTCTGTCTATCTGTCTATCATCTATCTATCTATCTCTCTGTCTATATCTATCTATCATCTATCTATCATCTATCTATCTTATCTATCATCTATCTATCTCTCTGTCTATATCTATCTATCTATCTATCTATCTTATCTATCATCTATTTATCTATCTCTATCTGTTTATATCTATCTATCTATCTATCTATCTATCTATCTATCTATCTATCTATCTATCTATCTATCTATCTATCTATCTATCTAATCTATCATCATCTATCATCATCTATCATTTATGTATATCTATCCATCCACTCAACCATCTATCTATCTATCTATCTATCTATCTATCTATCTATCTATCTATCTATCTATCTATCTATCTATCATCCATCTATCTATCTATCTATCTATCTATCTATCTATCTATCTATCTATCTATCTATCTATCTATCTATCTATCTATCTATCTATCTATTCTATCTATCTATCTATCTATCTATATCTAGAGACTGTCCATCCCACTCATAGGGTGACTGCCATACCACATAGGACCCGTAAGTTTTTTCTTTTTTAAAAAAATACAGAACGGCCAATGGCTGCATGTATTGCAGGCTTTCTTCAGAAACAGAGTCACTTGCTCATTACAAAAAAAAGATAATTCGTGGTGCTGAGCTTCCTACATGAAATGGAGGGAGTGGTCGAAAGCTTATCAGTTTATCTTCTGATAACTGGGTGTTCCTGCCCACCAGAGCAGCCTTGTTGTGAATGGGTAGCCTTTTCCCGCAGAAGCCATTTTGCGAATCTGCTCACAACATGCTAATAAAACCACCCAGGTAGCCTACAACTCAAAAATTGCCTAAAGTCACTAACCTTGTGTCCTATCTTACAATTACAGGAGAAAATGCTCTAGAAAAGAGGTCCTGACCCACAGAATATTTAGGCAACATAATCCAGCAAAACTGGAAATTTTTGTGAGACTGGGGAAGACTGCTGGATCAGGTGTGAGCAAGAGGCAGATCGTGATTTACTGGTAAATATTGTTGATCATCCAGAAGTGTCCTCATTTACAACCCACATATAGGGATCAACTCCTCATCCTTCTAGATTAACTTCCAGATTATCCCCTGAGATGAACAAAATCTTTAGGGAGAAAGATAAAAAAAAAATAGCTTTGGTGCAATGTGTGCCTGGTTTTAGTATCTGAAATGGACTCCGGGATTGTGTTGCTTCCTTTTAAGGTTATCTTTCTATTCCTGATTTGTGTCTGTTGTTCAGCTTTAGGATTCTAAGTGATTTATCTATCTCATTTGTGTGGCCGCCAGCCTCACAAGAAGTGACTCTAGGGGGCATAAAACAATCAAATAATAATTAAAACACAATCATTTTAAAAATATAAAACAATAATTATTAATACTGAAGTAAAGGTAGTCCTCAACTTACAACAGTTGTTTAGGGTTAAGTTCGAAGTTACAATGGCACTAAAAAAATGACTTATGAACATTTTTCACCCTTAACAACCGTTGCAGCATCTTCGTGATCAAAATCCAGACGTTTGGCAACTGATTCATATTTGTGACTGTCGCAGTGCCCCGGGGTCATGTGATCCCCTGAGAAGCAAAGTCCATAGGGAAGCCAGATTCGGCTTAAACCGTGTTGCTAATTTAACATTGGCAGTGATTCACTTAAACTGCGGCAAGGAAGGTCATTAAAAAATCACTTAACGGCTGTCTTACCTAACAACAGAAATTTTGGCGTTGATAGAAGTAAAGGAAAGGTCTTCAAAAATGTAATATTGAAAGAGAAATTTAAAATTGAATTTGCTGCAGTGAAGTGGAAATTTACTGGGTGGAGTAAATAATGGATGGGAAACAGGAAAGGATAGTATAAAGGCAGGATGTAAGAGAAACACATAGGCAAAATTGTTATCTGGGTCTTCAGAATGGGAAAAGGAGATGTAAGAGAAGGTAACTAGCAAAACAGGAAAGAACCTATTTTTCTAAGATGTCATAAAAGGGGGGGGGGTCCAGGACTCAGGCAACTGAGCATGTGCAATTAGTTGATTAATATTAACCGACACACCTTGCATAAATTATCTCTCAATTTTAATGTACATGTGATGTAGGATTTAGTATGTAGCAGGAAATATGTAGGAGGCGGTCGGAAAGAGTGTAACCTCATAGTACCTCAGCCAATGGGGAAAGAGGAAGGATGTGGTGGCCGGGACAGGACTGTATAAAGAAGGAAATATTTTGGGTTAAAACTTTGGAGAGAACCAAACTTTGATAGCTTCTCTCCCCACTTATTGCAATAAACAAAACAAAAGGCCTTCACTGTGTCTTGGCTGGTTATTGGTCAGGCGACCTTGCCTCTGGTCACGAAGGAAAGTAGCCAGGAGCACACAACAGTGTCAATTGTGGACGTAAGTCGAGAACTACCTATGTATTAAAAAAGAGAGAGTGGGCACGCAGAAAGTGACTGTATCAATAATGAAGCTATCTTAAGATATAATTGATTCCCTGATGATATAGTCAAATCTTGAGGGATTTCCGGAACATTAGCAGAGATGGAGCTACCCTAACTTTTATTTATTGATTAAATTTTTATGTCTCCCATCCTGCTGAGAGCGAATTTGGGCAGCGTATGGTGAAATAAAAGATAAAATACAGTTACAGATATATAGAAACAGTTAAAATTACAAGAATAGGGGGGTAAAAGAGTAAAAAACAAACAAACCCAAGGGGTCACGTGGAGTGGAGGTGGAGCCTTCTGTCAACTTTAGAGGCGGGAGGGGATAGTCTATTTATTATTAATTATGATTTATTATTTTAGGTTATTATTTTGTTTCTAAGAAAAGGCCTTGTGCTGGTCAGCAATCACAAACTTCGGCCCCAGGTGCAGCTTCTAACCCATCTTCAAGGGCAGCCTTGTAGATGAAACAAATGTTCTAATCCAGTGGTGGTGAACCTATGGCACAGGTGCCAGAGGTGGCACTCAGAGTTCTCTCTGTGGGCACGTGCTCCGTCGCCCCAGTCCTAGGCCTTCAGCTGGGTTTTATAAAACCTTTTTGCTTTAAGCCTCCACCGCCATGTGCAAAAAAAAAAAAAAAAAAGGTTCAATCAGTCAATTTCAACTTCTCGCGGGGAAAAAAAAGATCTCGCAAAGTTGGAATTGATTGATTGAACTTTTTAGTCCCACCCAGTCTGCCGTTACCAATGAAGCCACGCCCACCCAATGGGCCACACCCACCCGGCACTCGACGATTCATAAGTGGGTTTTGGGTTGCAGTTTGGGCACTCGGTCTCTAAAAGGTTCGCCATCACTGTTCTAATCAATATGGCGGATGCATTTAGAGCAGGAGTCTCCAAATTCATCTACTTTAAGACTCGTGGATTTCCATTCCCAGAAGTCCACGAGTCTTAAAGTTGCCAGATTTGGAGAACCCTGATTTAAAGAAAGAGGTACCCTGTTTTCCTGAAAATAAGACCCAACTGGAAAATAAGCTCTAGCATAATTTTTCAGGATGCTCGTAATATAATCCCCACCCTAAAAATAAACCCCAGTTAAGCCAGACAGACACATTTAGTACCGTATTTCCCCCTAAATAAGACCTAATGCGACTTTTAGAGCAAAAATTAATATAAGACACGGTCTTATATTTGGGGAAACACAGTAGTGAAGGAGACCCCACTTTGCCTGCCTTAAAAGTTCTCATCCAAGAAGCTCCACAGCATAGAAGACAGTCTTTTTTATTATTATTCCAAGTACTGGGATATAGACGGCAAGATTAATGTCAGCTCCTTGCTGAAACATTTAGTAGCACAATGGCAGGCTGATACTAAACTCGGAAGCTTTTAGCTTCCCCCCCCCAAAACAACAACAACAACAACAAAACCCTGAATTGAACATAGTGCCCCAGCAGTGATGGAGAAATTTCTCAATAAACTTATTGTTCTCTGTTGTACAAAATAAAAATAAAAATAAAAAAATCTACTTGTTAATATTCTATACTGAACGCTTGGATGCTAAAATGCTCCGTGTTGTGTGGGGTTCATAAACTGGAGGCTGATGGGCTGTATTGAAGCTGAATTGGGGATACCGATGGGGGCAGGTTGAAGGGTCTGCTGACTTTTGTTGTCCTGCAGGAGAAAAGATGGCTCCGTGGACGTGGCAGCCATACACGGCACGCTGGTGATCACCATGATATCTGGCCGCAAGGAGGAGCTGGTTTCTGGTGGGGTTGGTAGCCCTGCAGGCCCAGTGATGGAGGCTTGGCTGGCATAGGTGAGTGCCAACTGCTCCAAGCGTCTCTTCTTGAAGAAAGCCTGGGTGGTGGCGTGCAGTGGCTGGAGAAGACGAGGGATGGGTTGTCCTGGGTGTAGGAAGAAATCAAAGCCGGAGCAATCCGCAGGATCATAGGCCAACGGGCAGGGGGACCCTTCATTCTCACCAGGCCAGGCAAAAGGGAAAGGGAGTGTAAAGTCCTCGGTGAGTACCCGAATGGCAAAGTCGTCTTCTTTGCCAAATTCCTTGTAGGCCCTTTGGATGCTGTGGAAGTGCTCTTCCCATTTTTTCATGTCTCCGTCGTAGATGTCTGGAAAGGAACCCGGAAGTGTCTGGAAGAGCCTGGAGAGGGTGGGGCCAGCTGGAGAACCGGACAAGCTGTAGATGACTCCGGTCGGGGTGCTGGGCGAAGCTGTCTGGTTGAAGATGGGTGGTGGCTGGAGGGATGTCAGGGATGGGGGCAGCAGGAAGTCTTGTGAGCTGCTTCCTAGGTCTCCACCAAACGTGGATCCACTACCTGTAGTGGGAAGGGGCTTACCCTGTTGCAGTGAAGCCAGGGGACCTGAAATTCCCCCATCACCTGTGTGGAACATAAGAGAAAAGACAAGGAAAGTTAGGGCTAAATTTCAGCAAACTCGCTTGTTAGGGAGAAGTTCTCTTGAGGCTCTCTTGAGGTCCCTTCTCAAAGGACTTGTATCACATAGTTTTTCAACCCCTGGGGTCCCCTGCCAAGGCCTCCAGCCCCACAGAGAGAGAAAACCCCAGCCTGGGCCCCCTACAGCAAGGTGAAACCAAGCAACCCTCACAGAGGAGTGATCAGCTATCTCTGAGCCTACATCAACTAATACAGGCCTTGCAGCAGCTTGAGGTGGTGCAAAAGCCAGAAGAGCTACAGCCGGTGAGCTTACAGATTAGGGATGCCCAGCAACAACCCCCACTTGCTCAGCAGCCATTGAGGGGCCTACAGCAGCAGGGGGCATCACCAGCCCCTGCTGGACAACAGCAGAGAATCCAGCTACCGTTGGATTGGCAGGCAGGATGGGGCCAACAGCAACTGGGGGCACCACGTCAACAGTATAGAGCCCAACAACCATTGGATCAGCAGAAATGGGCCTCCCTCATCGCCTGGCAGAGAGATTTGAGGAGTTAGAAAATGGCTGCCGTACGCCGCGCTATGTGACACAAGACTATGTGATACAAGACTGTGTGATAAAACTATGTGATACAAGAGGCAAATGGCAGAAAAGTCCAAGTAGCAGAAGAGTTGTACGGATTGTATAGTCCCCGTCAATGAAACAAGAGCTTCTTGTTCAACTTGTGCTAATGGATTCAGAAGAGAGAGAAAAAAATGTTGGCACTCACAAATGAGGACTAACTTGTAAATATCCCTAAAACTTGTGGATTTTTGGTGAGATACGAGTGGTTGCAAGACCGGAAAAGAAGTATCTTGATTAGCCGAAGACCTATCAAAACGAAGAAATCTTTAAAATAGTGTTAAACAATGTTATCCCTTCAAAAGAAAATCTAGCAGGAAGGAAAACTCAACAAGGATCTTCCAAAACGAATACAGTCCATTACTTCTCCCCACCCCCACCCCTTGCTATTTTGATTCTTGGCTTTGACTTTTGGGTTTTTCCCCCCCATTTTTTTTTTAAAAAAGTGGACTATTTTTCATGTCATTTCAATATCTTTGATCAGTTTTATTGAAAAAGCAATCCATAAAGTAGGACAGATTCCCCCCCCCCAAAAAAAAACACCCTCAGAGGACTAAAGGGGAACAGGAATATTCAGTAATATTACTGGCAGGTGAAGTCTTCAACTTACTGTATTTTGGGGGGCAATTTTAAGGGGCAAAATAATTGTGTTCCGCTTCTTATAAATGCAGAAAATCTATTTTGCCTGTTCATTGGATATTGATGGCTTTGCCATTAAATTTTGGTGGCGCATTCTGGACATCTATGTATTGTTTAAAAAGAGGCGGGGGGACTGGGTGTATGTTGCAAATTCCTTGCTCCTTCTTTGAATTTTGCTAGTAAATAAAACAGCAGCAACCAAGGACCTCCAAGGAGACCAGAGAGAATATGGCTATAGTAACAAAATGATGGATGGAGCAGCAACAAAGAGTCTTTAGAAATGATGTAGATTTCTTGATGGGAAGATTGCCACATATAAGCGGATGATATTAAAGGACTATCATATATGGTGATTTGTAAGACATCGGACTTACTTCAGGTTTAGAGCCACACTCATCTGTGTTACTTCCTGGGTGACCTTAGAATAAGAGAGTGGCAAATTTAAATTGTAGGATTGTGGTAGGGAAAATATGAAGGAAAACTACCACCCAAGCAGCCTTAAGCTCTTCAAAAAGTTTGGGTATAAGTATTAAGAACACTATATCAAGGCTTTTCAACCAGTGGTACGGGTACCACCTGTGGTACATTGGCACCTGGCAGGTGGTACACGACCATCCTAGAAAAGTAGTAGCGGGGGAAGGAAATGAGCTGAACCGGAGGCAGCACCGCACAAGCCTGAGCGAGAGACGGCTGGAGCTGCAGGGCTGTCAGGGCTCAGCGGAAGCACCAGGATCAGCGCCAGGATCCAGCTGGAGCTCGGCGCTGATCCTGGCACTTCTGCTGAGCCCAGAAGAAGCGTTGATCAGCTGGAATGTTGCAGCCTCTCCAGGGTCTTGTGATTTACATTCAGATGCTTGGCAACTGATTCATATTTATGACGGTCACAGTGTCCCAGGGTCATGTGAAGTGACCAAAACCTCCTGCAACCACCCAGCAGACGGGGGAATAAAAACCAAACACCCCCCACCCCACCCCCGCTGCCAATCCTCAACAGAAATGCTCACAACAATGAAAACCTCGGACAGGAGGAAGAGCGCCGCCGGGTGGGCAGGCAGGTGTCTTGCTCGGCTGTGGCTTGGGGGGCACTTTTTTCAGTGCCATTGTAACTTCGAACAGTCACTAAGCAAACTGTTGTAAGTCGAGGACTACTTGTACTTCATCACTTTTTTTCCTTTTTTTGTCATCAAGTTTTTGACACCTTGCTAGGCGACTGGTGGTACTCGGATACGGCCATATCCTAAAAGTGGTACAATGGGTGAAAAGGTTGAAAAGCCCTGCACTATATGGTTTTCAGTCCAGCACTTGTAAGAATGGAATAGAATTGATAGGTCCTAGTTAGCGTCCAGTGGAGGATGTTAGTTTCTCACGCTTGACACTGCCAAGAACTTTAGCTGGTGCATGCAATTGGACATCAAGATGGACCATGTTGTAGAGGTGAGATTTGGTCCTGCAACAATCAGTTGTTAAGACCTACCCTACGCTCTCCATATGGCCTACTCTAGGGCCTGCTCAGTCTTTCCTTCTTTAGTCCCTGCAAAGCTCTTCACCTGGAGGATGGGATGGGTTATCCAAAGTCTCTGCCCCTAAAGAAGCCATTGTCATGCCTGGGAAGTTGATAAGAAAGGGGTGGAGGGCCCATTGTTGACTGCAGTTTCCTAGGAAACTACAATGGCTTTCTGATGACATCACAGCTGATCAAAGGGGAAATGACTGTGATGCAAATAATCAGAACTGAATGGGGCATTGGATGTTTTGCTACGAAGGGAACATCTGTTGGGGAATTAAATCAGTGGCCATGTTTCTACAATCTTTTAATCCTGGATATCAAATCCACATTTTCCAAGTTCATGCAATGCATTGAATACTTAATCCAAACAAGCCAGGTTTGTACAACGTGCTAAATTACAAAACACTTAACCCAGGTTAGTACTAATGAAGCTTAGCATGTTAGTGAGTATATTTGCTAGGGCTTTTCTTGATTCCGTGCTATTGGCCACCACGAAGAGCTTGTCAAACTCTCTGCCTAAGATAAAGCCATAATTCACAGTACTGGTTCATTAAGCATAGTTCAATGAATCCAGGTTCAGCTCTTCTTTGGGGACCTTGGTAAGTGAAGTACATGTTTTACTTCCTATAGACTGGATCCATACATATTAAATGGTAATATGATTTGAGACAAGAGCATCTACTGAGTGTGAGTTTGCCCCCACTGGCACTTGCACAATATCTGCTCAATAACTTTGACATTAATTCCCAGTGGAAAGCCAAATGGGTTGTCAACATTCAGACATAGGAATACATGTACATGACCCCATGTCAAAAGGCTTTGAACTACTATGCCAGCAATGGACAATCCTGAATAGGATTCACACCTCACATGACCAGGACTTACTGTATAAATGGGGCATAGTATCCTCCCCTCTGTGACTATTGGGTCCCACATCAAACTAGACCACATTGTGATCAGCTGTAAACTGAGGGCATATACTGGTCCAATATCTGATATTTTTCATATAAATGATGCTGTGCTTCATTGGTTAGGTGGCCTAGACATTGGTGTCTATAAATCTTTTTAACATGCATATTGTGTGTGTGTTTTTAATTTAGGTGAAATGCTAATATATATTGCAAGTGTATGTATGATAGGGAGTCAAGCTATTCTCCAAAGCGCCTGAAGGCAGGACAAGAAGCAACGGATGGAAACTAACCAAAGAGAGAAGCAACCTAGAATTAAGGAGAAATTTTTTGATAGAACAATTAATCAGTGGAACAACCTGCCTCCAGAAGCTGTGAATGCTCCAGTGCTGGAAGTTTTTAAGAAGAGACTGGACAGTCATTTGTCTGAAATGGTATAGAGTTTCCTGCCTGAGCAGGGGGTTGGACTAGATGACCTCCAAGATCCCTTCCAACTTATTATTATTATTATTATTATTATTATTATTATTATTATTATTATTATTATTATTATTATTATTATTAGCCATAACAATAAATAAATCTGAGCTTGGAGTCATTGGGCAAATCTCGAGTTTTTAGAGAAGAAAAAGGCATTGAGTGTTGAAAATATCCTTCATAACTCAGGAACCCCAATGGGGGGGCATATGATCTGTCTTGCAATGTATTGCTTTTCACACTAAGCCCTGATTTTTACTACAATATCTGACTTTATTTTTCCCATCTTGGTTTTTTTTCCCCTCTTGCCCAGTTGGTTTTATAGCTGTCCAGGTAACGAGTCACAATTCCCACACACATACAAATATTCCTAGCATTTTCTTCTATACCCCACAGTCCACTACAGCAACTTTGGCCTTCCAGATGTGCCAATGTCCCAGAATTCCTCCACCAGCCTGGGCATTGTTGAGGATTTTCAAAGTCTGAAGTCTGCAAATCTGGAAGACACCCAAGGTGGGAAAAGCTGAGCTAGAAATTAATCATCAACATTATCATCATCATCATCATCATCATCATCTATATAAATAAAAATGTAAATGTTCGTTTGTTCAAAATCTTAAATCTCCTAAAGTTCTTCACCGATTGCTTTGAAATTTTGACACAACATTGCATTCGAATACGCGCGTTTTTATATACCTACTATTATATAGATGTCACACCTGTGACACAAATGTGCGCTTTCTCTTTTCTTTCTTTTCCATTTAACCAGATTGAGCCACAGCAACGCGTGGATGGGTACAGATAATAATAATAATAATAATAATAATAATAATAA